AAAGAATCACTCATAATTCAAAAAATTGATAATAAAATAATATATGAATGCGAGACATTATTATAATATGTTATCGTTTTTCTTTGTTTATCATATTTTTCTATTAATGCATGACATGAGTTGAGATACTACTATAATATAAACGACCATTTGTACATAAAATATGTCATTCTTATATATTATTTTCATAAACGACTTTTTTTTATCTTGCTCCAGTAAGCAATTAATAATTATCAATAATGATTATGTCAAGTATAAAATTTACAACCTGGATATAATCTTATTGGGATCCACGCACATGAAAAACTTGCCGGAGGTCAACTTCTCCGGTGGAAGCAAAACCAACGTGGCGATGTTTGCGGCTGCCTCCTCAGCCGTGTGAGTCCCTTGACCATCTGTCATAGACGTACGAGTGAAACCAGGGCAGTAGCAATTCACACTTAGTTTTTTGCTCTCGTAGCGTCGAGCCAAAACTCTAGAGTAAGCGTTCAATGCCATCTTTGAGACGGCGTAGTCCGGCCAATTTTCCGGCCATCCTTTTTCCTCATACGTCCCTCTTCTCACGTCTTCGAGAAACTGAGTTACTATCGCGTCTATTTGTTCGTACGTAAGCTCTTCACTTTCTAGGGTTTGTCTTAAACTAGGGCTTCTCAGTTTCTGTATGCGAAAATATACATAGGAAAATAGAAATGTCAATAACATGCATGGTAGATAATAGAACGGTTAATTTGACATTGCATTCATATATATCCGGATTCAAATGAAATGATCAAGATTGTTATGAATGAGCCAATCCTTTTAGGCTAGCTTCATCGCCACTTTGTAAATGAACCAATTTGATCAATAAATTTGATATTTAATAAAAAAAATGATCAAGACTGTTATGAGAAACATAGTTTTTGATATTGCATGATATATACAAAGAAAGGATATAGTGTATATATTTACATATAATTTTAGATATGTATATATATATATTACATATATGTGTGTATATATATATAACATTAAAATTTTCCAACAAGATTGAAAGTATAGTGAGTACTTCTCTTTGGTAATTGTAAAAATGTTTTTTTTTTTAAAATAGAGTAGGAGAAAGAAAGTATATATTACGCTTAATGTGCCAAGCCTTGAGCTAATGTTAAGGATACGTCCCATGGAGACAGAGCGGCGAAATAACGGCAAAAGCGCATCCGTTAAAAGCTTGGCACCGTAGTAATTGGTCCTGATTATGGTCTCTGGCTCTCTGATTAAGTTTTCGCCGACCGCGTTAAATGAAACGGCCGCGTTATTCACCTGAGCAAAAAAAAAAAAATTATTAGCCTCATCAAACCACCAAATTACATTTCCCAGAATTTTCCAAAATTCAAACAAAATGTAAAATGTTATAGCTACTATATAATACAATATGATGAAATCTTTTTTCAAGAGAAAATTGTGAGGTATAATTACCTTTAGTTTAAGTTAAAGAAAACTGATTAGATTTGTTTTCTGTCAAACAAATTATATCATTAGTTCATTACTATATAGAAAATAAGTAATCAGGTTTCTATGATTCATTGTACTTTGATGATATTTTCCAGATAATCAGTTTCTTATATAATATTTATACTATATATATATAGACTAAATGTCTAGTTACACTATTTATAATTACAAACAATCAAATACAATACACACTGTAGTTACCAGAATGTCGAGTACGCCAAAGTTGAGACGGAACGAGGAGACAAAGGCGGAGATGGAAGAAGGATCCGAGACATCGAGGCAAAAGAAATGAACGTTTTGAAAGCCAGCACGGCGGAGGGAATCGGTGGCGATGCTTCCATTCTCAGCGTTTCTGGCGGTTAAGACTACGGTTAGTCCAAGCTTCAATAATTTCTTCACCACCTCAAAACCTATACCTTTGTTTGCTCCGGTCACAACCGCCGTTGTTTCTTTCGACCACCACCTTTAATAATCAGAATAATTATCAAAACCAAGTCAGCAATAGTTATTCAATTACGTAGGAAGAAAATATATATACAATAAAATGACATAAAAGCTTCAGGAACCTCTTTGTAGATGGTATTGGAGAAAGAAGAGAAATTAGATGATCCATATATATGATCTTGATGCTAACAACTAGTTGATGAGAACGTTAAATCAAGAAAAAGCTTCAATTAACTTATATATAGACTTGGATCTGAACATATGCAAATTTATACTATACATGGATAACATGTGGTTATGTCTGTGTGTGAGGGTGTCATAGGAAGAATATAATATGTGTTATATATAATAGAACATGAAGAAGGCAAGACCTCGTGAATATAATACGCAAATAATGTAAATTCTAAAATACAAGACTGTAGAGTCCATTGGGTCAAAGTGTCTACACCTTAATAGGTTTCGAATATCTGACTATAAATTCCTTCTCCACCTTTAACGTTTAGAATGACTAAACAGCTGACTTTTATAAGTCACTGAGTGTGATGCAAGAGGTTTTGGCGAGCTGAATAGCAATGTTACATCCTCATTCTAATCTCATTTTCGTTACAATGAAAATAAAACTATATAAATATTGATATTACATACGTGATGATGAACTACAACTTGATGTTGAAGTAAAAAAAAAAACGTTAAGTTGAAGTGGATAATATTCTTTAAGTGACAACTTTTATGTGATGATGTAGCTAGATTTTAAGACTATATGTTTTCACGTTATCTTAGGTTTCGAATTAAAAGTTTTGCATGTTGGGTATCTACCAGTTCTATATTGGAAACCTGTCCTATGTGATTGATATATAATGGATGACAAAAAATGAATAAATATCCCTAATATATTTATTTGTTGTCCAAAAGAATCTCTAATCTATAGTTTAATACGTTCCATGCTTCAATTAAGAAACCCACTAATGAGGTTTAGAGATACATGAAACTATATAAATCGATAAATAATTACTTGGATTGAAAAATAATCACTACGACTTGATTGGCTGATTTTCAATTAATATTAGGGCTGAGATTTTTATCCGGGATCCAGATTCGATCTGAAATTAGGATATCCAGGATGTTCGGATCCAAATCCGGATAGTAAAATCTTGGATCCGTGCAAAACAAATCTGGATCCGGTTATCTTAATTTTTAGGTCTGGATATCCAGATTCGGATGCCTATTTTAAAAAATATATTAATTTTTTATTTTATTATTAATTATATCTGATATATTAATATTTATAGATAAAATAAATTTAATAATATTCTACTTTTATGTTAATGATATTATATGTCATATATATATATATTTATAAATTATGCTTAAATATTTAGTTTATGTATTATTTTTAGAATTATTTTTAGAATTTTTTAATTATTTTTACGGATCTGAATCCGAATTCGGATACCCGCGAATATCACAATATCTAGACGGATATCCGGAGCCCGGATATCCAGAAGATACGAATCCAAATCCAATTACCAAAATCACGGATCCGACGAATCTGGATCCGGATCCGGATACTTCAAATTTTCCGGATATCCGGATCCGTCCCATTCCTAATTAATATAATTAGAGATTCAGTGAGATTTAGCCATGTGCTCGCTTCATTAATTATTGGCTTTTACTAATTCATAAAGTTTCTGATTATCATATATAATATGTTGTCAGCTTTGCCGCCACATTTGAAGGCCTCTAATTATTGGAACACAGTACGTGATATAGCTGTGAACACTATTACATGGTATTGTTAAAATTTGTTTTTTTTTTTTTTGCATTATTATAATCAGGATTTTCGTCTATGAGAAGACTATTAAATTTAGCTTCTAGATCTAGCTGTTTTAGTGTTTCATTTTCTGTTGCCAAAAGAAAAAGAGTTTCATTTTCTATTTATAAATATTTTCAAGCAAACATATTAGTTCTAACAATTAAAATTCGATATATGAAACTTAGACCTATGTACATATATACTATTGATGGATGTCCAAAATAGAACTTATAACAATTAATAAACATGAATTGCTTAGCGAATACTCTCTACAAAACTAACAGTATAAGGAACAAATTTGCACAAGAGTAAGTTGCTTTGCTCATATATACATCATGGTGCATTTTCTATACCTCTTCTCCAATTAGATGTAATAGTGGATGGCTTCATTGATGATCTTAGAAAAGCTCCAACGGCTGATTTTAACAAGGCATTTCTGCAAATAAAATTAATAAATTACAAAATAGTTTGAGAGAGAATATAGGGTAGTATTACTCCTGCAGAACCTCTTTATATATTTTTAGCATGCGTGTTTGTGGGTAAATGGTTTAGTTTTAGAATAAAAATTACAATTTAACTAATTAATCAAAACACATTAAAATATTAACATAAAACATATGAAAAACTAGTTTTAAATACCATACCGATAATTGTGCTCTTATAACCATACCACTATTATACAAAAGTGGTCAAAGCTCCAAGGGTTTGGTGAGCCAAGAGAGTGTCCAAGTCAGTCTAATGAAGCGCTAAAGTGGTCTGATAAAAAAACTATTGGATACTTAACAGAAGTAATAAACATACAGTTCATGATTTGCACATTGTGGTATATGTTTAGATAAATAACTCAAGAACACCTTTTATGATTTACAGTAGGTGGTCAAAGGTTTAGGTAGAGTTGGTGAGGGATATTAGGAATATTATCATATATGGAAAAGGGAATATTTCTGGCAGACACTAAACCCAACAGCATAAACGTCTCAATACATGCCTTGGGAGACAAAAACCATGAGGATATAAATTATAATCTCATGTATAAGTTGCGACATGAATTTTTAAGAAAGATAGGTTTTGTATTCAGTAATATTTTTGTTATTTTTTTCTTTCAGACAATTAAAGCGTGATATATAAACAATGGTTTGTTATTGAATATTTTGATTGAATGCATTTTACACTCACTAAAATTAATCATCCCAACAACAAGAAAAAAAAGACATAGAAGAATATGCCAAAAAGCTAATACAGATTCATAATGGACCTTAATAAACAAACCAAAACCGGTCTGCATATTTCTGTTGCATGCTATTAACGACAAAACAAAGGAATGAATCTCTAGAAACATATACTCATTGAATTCACATAGATGTGTTTACCAAAAACTGAGAACATTACAAAGATTCATTGTCTCATCTTAATCCAAGCCACAACATACTCAGACAATAAGCTTTCTACACTCTTATAGGCAACAACTCAGATCTCACCTAGATAAATCTGTTTATCACTACTGCAAGATCCAATGATTGGTTCATGAGGATGGAAGACAGACTCATTAACAGACCCATTATGACCCGGAAGCTTATACAGAATCCTCCTAGTCGTCGTGTCCCATATATGAACCATTCTATCCGCACTACCCGCTGTGACTTTCGTACCATCAGGTGACCACGCACACTTCAACAAGTTCTTCTCAAAGTTGTGTATATGCCCTTCAAAGATCTTCACACACCGGTTCTGAGGAGCGTAAGGACGCATATCCCAAACACAAAGCTTACAGTCCATAGCATTAGTGAGAAGATAAGACCCGTCTGGACTTAAGCTCATACCAGTTATCGTATCTTGATGACCCTCAAGGGTCATAATCGCTTCACCTTTCCTCAAATCCCACACTTTAACATCGTTATCCACACCCCCAGTGAATATCTTATCAGCTCCATCAGAGAAACTCACGGCTGTGATCTGGTACTTATCAGGAAACGTCTGCACAGCTCCTCTCTGACGCATGTCCCAGAGCTTAGCAGTGCCGTCATCAGAACCACTAACTATAAGAGGCAACCCACGACGCGAAGAGCAGCAAGAATTCACAAACGAGGAATGCTCAGCCATCTTCTTAACCTGTTTCCCTGTCTCGACATCCCAAGCTCTAACGGTTTTATCAGGACTGGCTGATACGATCTGCGAGCCGTCGCTGGTCCAGTGAAGATCGAGGATAGCGTTCTTGTGACCTTTGAGAACCATAAAGTTTTTGCAGTCTCCGTGAACTCTCCAGAGGAAGATCTCTCTGTCGTGAGAACCGGAGGCGATCACGGTTCCAGAAGGGTTGAACTTCATGGTGTAGATAGCGCTTTGGTGTCCGGTTAGTAGCGTAATGGGTGCTTCTAAGCTTGAAGTTCGTTGCTTGCCGTTGGAGGTAGGTCCTTGGAGAGGAGTGTTGTAAGGGACAGTGGACCATTCCATTGGATCATTATCTCTTTTGACCATATCCATCTTAGCTCTTTAACTGTATTCCACAAGAAAGTAATACACAAAGTGAATCAGTATATGTAAAGGTTAAAGCTTTACAGTTTTGCAGATCTCAAGGATTAAACCCATTCAATATAACCCTAGAAAGAAGTAACAACTAACAAAGGATATAGATATCAATGTAACCCTAGAAAATTTCAAAATTATAGCAAGAATCGTTTTTTGATACAGATGGAGAAATTTTGAATCATGGATTCATCGAAATAGTATTACGTACCTTCGAGATGAGAGCGAGAGTAGCTAAAGGCGAGCCGTTTGCAATCTCGCGAAACCCTAAAACCAGAGAGAATGGTGAAGAGAAGAAAAGAAAAGATTAAGCAGGTTCTGGAGACGGTCACACAGAAACAGAAACTTCACCGGCGATATTTTGCAATTTATATTTATGTTTGAGAGTTATTTCAAAATAAACCCCGAAATATAATTTTGTTTGAAACTACCCCATCTTAATTGTCAATAGAGCCCATGGTCCAGTGAGATTCGTCTTCAGATTAGAGTTGTAATTATTACTGCGGTGGGATGGGTTTAATGAGTTTTATTTTGTTTAAGCGAAGAAATAATTGAATTATACACATCATTAACACTCATATGCAGTAACTAGGTGAGATCAGGGGGATAAACATGTTTTTTTTTTTTTTTTTTTTTTTTTTTTTTTTTTTTTTTTTTTTTTTTGACATCAAACGGCTGTTCTATTACTCAAGACACTTGAGGTGGTCTGGGAAGCCAGACCGGAATAGAGCAACCAACATACACAAGCTTACGATAAAACGACCTAGCTGTCTTCGCTAGAGAATCAGAAACATTGTTCTGTGCTCTAGGGATATAACAAATCTTAAAATCAGGGAAACAGATCTTCAAGGTCTCCAATTTTTCCAGCTCTGTTGAGAAATTAGGCCATCCGTGAGGATTCTTGAGCATCTCTACCAACACCTTGCAATCAGTTCCAAAGCTCTGACATGGCGAATGTTGAAGCATATTCTCCATTGCCCATCGCAGTGCTTCCAACTCTGAATGCAGTGCCGACTCCACTCGATCAAAGTTTCGCAGTCCCATGAGAACGTTATTTCCTGAGTTATCAACCAATACCCATCCACAACCACTGAAACTATTTGTAGAAGTCCAAGATCCATCTACCATGCATATATCCCCCAAACCTAAGTGTGGTCCTCATTGAATCCACTCACAGTAGATTCCGGGCAGTCCTGCTCATTTGCTTTGCCCAGGGGGATAAACATGTTACTCTTGATATATCACCACAATGTAATTTGCCCAAGGAAAATCACAGAATTTTCCGTACTGGTTAAGTTTTATTTTGGTTCATCATATTTCAAACAAACATAGTTTTAACACTAATTTATCATTCTATTATAAATAATGATGATTTTGGAAGCCATTTGATCCAAATAATTGGACTAAGAATTCATTAATGTTTTTACACTAAAAGATCTGAGTTTCGAGTTCCACAAAAAACGAAATAACAAAACTATACGAATTAAATAAGAAAATAAAAAAATACTGTCTTTGACCAAAAAAAAAAACTGTCTAGGGTGGGTCAGAATGTCATATAGGTATTCAGTGTTAAATAAAAAATAGTGATGATTATTATGAGAAGAAAACGTTTTATAAAGATTCACTAGGTGTTTTGCCCGCACTTGCGGGCATAATTCTCTTATGAATATTTATTAGTTGATGTTTCATTAATTTAAAAATCGGTATAGTAAGTTATTATTTATGTTTTCAAAAAAATAAAAATCAAACATCAAATAATTATCAATGACAAAACTCAAACATCAAAATATTTAAAAGAATATATTTCTATAACTATTTTTCTTGATTTATATTTAATTATAATATTTATATCTTAATTATACATTTTATATTAGAAAAACATATTTTTAAGATAACAATATAATGCATAAGTTATTTATTTTATGTAAATATAATATGATAATTTTTTTACTATATAATAATTATATAAGATTATAGAAATTATGACATACAATTAAAATTACATAAAATCATTGATAACTTAATGAATCAGCAAATTCACTTCTTAAATAATTTTTCTTGAGTGATAATTTATACTTAATTAATAATAGATAATTTTTCTATTTTACTTTTAAGTTGTATAATATAAAATATATTTTCAGGATAACAACATAATACATAATAACTACCATATTCTCTAAGAGTATAATATTATTAGTGTAAATTAATTTTAATTATAGAATAACTACAACTTCTTATATCTTAATTTTAAATTTCTACTAAAAAAATATATTTTCAAGACAACAACTTAATACATAAGAAGTATTTAATTTTCTAAGAATCTGATACTATTAATATAAATTTGTTTTAAATATATAATAAATTATATATAAAATTATATAAATTGATAAATTATCAAAATTACCTAAAATCATGGAAAATATGACCAATCATCAAACATCAAATTCACTTCTTAAATAATATTATTGATTTTTTACATGTTAATTTAAAATTTTATAAAAGAAAAATATTTTTTCAAGATAACAGCATAATACATAAGAATTAACTTATTTTCTAAAATATCATATTATTAATATAAATTAGTTTTAATTATATAATCAATAATAAAAAAATTATAGAAATTCTTATAAATGATCAAAATTACCTAGGATCATGGAGACAAATCAACAAATTGAATTGGGCTTTTTGCAAATTTGACTCAAAACTCATGGTCAAACACAAAACTAACTTCTTCTTTTATCTCATCTTGTTTTTGTCCTATCCACCCCACATGTTCATTTTATTTACGAAAATGCCATTAAATTTTTTTTTTTACTTTTTTCGAAAATGGCCTTTTTACTCTCTCAACCTCATCATCTTCAAGTATTTACAACATTG